TATTATGTCTAAGTTAGCTATAGCCAACAATTTTTTCATATAAAAATATAATACTAAATAATATCATTTAAAAAATCCTCACTTTTTTTAATTTAAAGTATAATTTACATAAATCTCATAATTTTAAGAGTTAATTACATTATTTCCCGACTCTTTTCCAAATTACAGGAATCCCTCAAAATTTATGGATTTTGAATATATCACTGGACTTCCGGATACATCAGCAGACATCCAGATACATAGAAATAGGATGTATCGAGAGGAGAGGGATGTATCATAGAGGGATAAGACATCTGGATACATATGGGAGGGATGTATTAGAGAGAGATATGATATTTGGATACATAAGGGGAGATGTATCCGAGAGGAAAGAGACATATTAGAGATGGGAGAGATATATTCAAGAGGAGGATAAGGATGTATCCGCGAAAGAGTAATTATGTATTCGAGGGGGAATTTTCTAAATTTTTTTAAATGATAGAGAATTTTAGACATTATAGTAAAATAAGATGTGTATTTAGATAATTTTTCCGTTTTGAACTAAGAAAATCAAATTAAATTAAAAAGTTCCCTTAATTAAAAAAAATAGACAAAAAAATATTTTACATGAAATAATTATTTAAGGTTTGGTAGTACACCATAACCAAGTTCCCAACTTGCAACTTCAGAAACGGGTTGTTCTTTCGGGCAAAACATAAAGTAGATTTGTGTTCCATCTTTGCACGTCCTTTTACTTTGATGCATTAATTTGGTCAAACTCTTGCGATTCCCTCTTCAAAATTCCTTTTTTTTTTTCAAGAAAATGGTAAGCCTGAGTTTGTTTTTTTTTTGTTAATTAATTTTTTTTGTTGGATTTGGAAAATTGAAGTTTGAATTTTAATTGCAGATGAGAAATGGGTTGTGTCAAGTTTGGATCGGTATTACAATATCAATTTTGGTGATTGGTTTGAGCATGAAAGGTGCATTTGGGATTAGATTTGTAATTGAAAAAGAAGAATGTTTTTCTCATAAGGTTGAAATGGGGGAAACTGTTCATTATTCATTTGTTGTTATCAAGTCTGAAGGCGATTGGCATCACAATAATGACGGTGTTGATCTTGTGGTACCAATTTTTATACCTTAATTTTATTTTTTTTTGTATTTCAATCTCTAAAAATTTTAAATACTCCAAATTAGACACATGCATTTAAATCTGGGTAATTAGTTGTATTAAGACCGTGTATTAATTAAGTTAATCATCTTTTGTGGTTGCTGTAATATGAAGTTGTTGATTCAGAACATAGGCATTGTTATTTTGTAAAATAAAAGTTGGAATTAGCAAGGTTGTATTTTTATTTCTATTCCAGAAAGCTATGACATAATTAAGATTTTTAAAATATAAGTAGGTAGAAAACTATAGGTTCATCAACATAATTATCAAAATTTAAGCTATCTGGTGATCAACTTTCGTATAGTTTTGAATTGATCAACTGTGTTTTGTGTATTTTTGAATAACTCCATCCCCTTCGTACACAAATAGGCACCCTATGTATTGACTAGATTCTGATGAAGACCAGCAGGAAGAAGTGCATACACACACACACATCTGATTACATGTTTAAGACAGCGTAGAATTCATGAAGTTTTGAATGTCAAAGCTTTAAATTGATCGAGGCATATCGATACAGAGAGTACTCGGCTCAGTTTTTCTTAAGATTCCGTGTAGTCGTTAGTTCTGCAAAAAGGTTCTTCATACTTTTTTGAGGAGAAAATCTTCCATAGTCAAGTTGTACATTTTCTGCTTGAGAAGTTTAGGCTTTTATCCATCATTTTGTCAGTTGTCTGTACTAGGATTATTGAATTGATGTTGCTGAGATGGTGGGATTTTAGGTGAAGGGGCCTTCTGGAGAACAGATTCATGATCTTCGTGACAAAATAAGCGAGAAGTCTGAGTTTACATCTCATCATGAAGGAATTTATCGTTTCTGTTTCACTAACAAGTCGCCATATCATGAAACCATTGACTTCGATCTACATGCTGCTCACTTTGTATACCATGATGAGCATGCAAAAGATGGTGCGTGTTCCACATTGATTTATCGCAAGTGTTGGCTTAATATTAGAGAATTAACTTGATTAGTCTGTGACATGCAGAGCATTTCAAGCCTTTGTTTGAGCACATCGGTAAGCTAGAGGAAGCTTTGTACAGCATTCAGTTTGAGCAGCACTGGTTAGAGGCCCAGACAGACCGTCAAGCAATAGGTATATCAATATAATGTTTATTTGTTTCGCTAATCATTTCTTACATGATGCGGCTTCAATTGCATCAATACTTGTGATAGAAAATCAAACTCGTTGCCCTTTAGCTTGCATGTTGTATAGGATAATTTTCCTTTTCTAGTTTCTTCTTTTCAGATGTCTATCTCTTCAGTGTTTAATTGATCAAATTTAAATGCCTGATGGGAAAATCCATGAGTCATGCCTGTGACCCACTTAAAGTTTAATTTGCGGTAAATGTTCATCAGCTGAGCCACACTGTTCACTTCTTCTCATAAACATGGCCATCCAATATCAACTCTCAGTTGATATAAATTGATCTGTTTTGTAAGTTAAGCCTATTTATTCAGTACACTTCTGCAGTTGTTTTCTTGGGATTTACATTATATATCCCGGGTTCAGTGGTTTGAATACTTCCCTTTACAGTGACACTGTAACAGTTAGGTTTCCGTTGAGTTGTGTCAATGAGGTACAGCAAGAGAATATCATTCATTCCCGTGTATAATTTTTCAGTGGGTTGACTCAATGAGAAACAATAAAAGAAGATGATTTCATAGTGCATTTTACTCCCTTTGTTTCAATTTGCTTGTCTAGTTTTGACTTTATCACGGAGTTTAAAAAGTAAAGAAGACTTTTGAGTATGTAGAATGTTCTAAAATGCCCTTTAAACATGTCACATGGAGAGTTTGAATTTAAAGTTGCCAAAAAGGGGGAAAAAGTAATTTTTTTGAAATGGACTACAAAGGAAAGTAAACAAATTGACGTAGAGGGATTCTGTGGTTTGACACTTTCTGCAACTCAAATTTAAACTTCATTATGTGAAAGTTGTCTCCCTAGTTTTTGCTAGAATCATGAAATTGTGTATAATCAAAATGCTTATTATATTTTTAATTTTTAATATGCTGGTGTGGTTCCTACTAATGCAGTGAATGAAGGAATGAGCAAGAGAGCCATGTACAAAGCTCTTTTCGAGTCTTCAGCTCTTATTTGTGTTAGTTTTTTACAAGTATTCCTCCTCAAGCATTTGTTTGAACGAAAGCTGGGGCAGTCCAGAGTTTAGTTTTCGGCACAGGGAGGATAACATCCTTCTTCCCAAACCCTGTAAACTCAGATGTATTCGCTTTTTGTGCCTTTTTTCTGAAGGCAGAATATTGCCACAGAAACTAGAACGACTGATGTCCTTTTCGGAGATTAAGTTATTTCGATACGTTCTTTCAGGAATTAGTGAGATTTTCCGTATCTACGTTTTAAGATTATCTCTGCTTGGCTTGCAAGTTCTTTCAATGTCCGCGGCACAGTCCATTGTTGAATTTTGATACCTCAAGCTGTGTAATCATATTTATTTTGACATTGACAATTTCTCATTATAACCTTCATTTTTGGCTGTTTTTGGTATGTCTGGACTCTTGTTTTTCAGATTTTTCCCAAGTGTCTTGGGGAACTGATTAGCAGTATTTCTGTTTCTTTTATTATATAATATAGCTTATGCTTGGGTGAAGTTTACACACACTTCGATTAATTCCACGAGATATGTGTTTTACCTCCCAATAACACAGGTTCTGGAACTCTTATCTGCTGGTGCTTAGACTAGGGGTGTGCACTATTTGGATTAAACCGAAAAATCAAATCAAATTTTAATTTGGATTGGTTTTTTTGGATTGTTGGTTTGGTTTTGGATTTATAATTTACTTTGTTTGGTTTTTTGGTTTGATTTCGGATTTAGAAAAATGAAAACCGAAAAGCAATATATATATATATATATATATATATATATATATATATATATATAAGTGGGAAGCATCAAAGTACAATGTTGGATTACCATTTTACCCTTATATTAAATAAAAATATTTAATTAACAAAATATTAAATAATAATCATATCATATTGTAATTAAATATATATATATATATATATATATATATTAGAATTAAGTTGGAGTTAACCACTTTTGTCCTTTTTTAGTTATTTTCATTATGATTTAGTTTATTTTCTTATGTTTGGACATCTATAATTGATATACTTCTAAGTATTGTGTTTTACTTGTGATTTATATTAAAAAGTATATTTAAGAAATTCAATATAGTATATATAATTTTTTTGAAATTGCAAATATAACTTTATCATGTTTCTAATTATTGACATAACGATTAACCAAATCAAAAAAATTCAAATCAAAAAGAGAAAAATCAAATCAAATCAAATTTATTTTGATTCGGATTGAGTTACACTTCTTCAAATCAAAAATCAAAAACCCAAATTGAATAGTATAAAACCGAATCGAAAAATCGAATGTACACCCCTAACTTAAGTTAGATAGATAAGAAGAAATCAGGTTTGTCTGTTTTTATTTTATTTTTGCAAAATATGAACTTATGACTCATGTTTTCAATTTTAAAAAGTTGAAATTGTCAACTTGGAAATGACATTCTACCGATTTGGTGAATTTGGTATTCCAAATTAAAATTTGAAACTGAAGTTGAGAATTTGTTCAAATGTCATAAACAAGCACACATTCAAATTAAAACTTCAAATTTGATGTCCAAATTGCATGGCCAAACGACCCCTTAGGGTCTGAATATATATGTAAAATAATAAAGATCTATGATAAAATTTATTATTAAGATACCAACTCAGTTTTTCTAATAAAAATGATAATCCATTAAGACTTCCACTTTCACTTCAACTACCACACAATCACCACAGTAGTAAGTTGTCACCATGATTAGTCACCATTTGCAATGTAATACTACCAACTATCATTAACGATCATCCATTACTATCGACAATTATCACCATCAGCCATGATTATATATCACCAATCATCATTATCACTATCAATCATTACAATCATTGACCAGCAACTAATACGATCAATAGCCATTGTTAATCAATATTGTCATCCACCATCATCACTAGCGCAATAAACATGTTTTTCAGTTATTATTTACATCTTTTGTCTGCCATGCGAACAAGGAGGAGATCTTCTTCTACAGAAAGAAAAGGAGCTAATGAAATGAGCACTGCACGTGTCATCTCTCTGCCAGACTCCTCTGAGTTCTTCAAAATACTGGCTGCCAGTGGCGGACCCAGAATTTTCACGAAGTGCGTTCAAGATGTAAACTAAAATGTGGCTATAGGGATTCGAACTCAGATTGGCTGGGAAATTTGAACCCTCTTCACCACTTGGGTAAGGGTCACACTTGTTTTAGTGGGTTCATATGAACCCACTTGAACCAATGTAGGCCCGCCCCTGCTGGCTGCAGGTAGATGACCCACAGCATCAACTGGCTGTCTGCCTTCATTATCAGGTTCATATATGTTAAAGATGTTGTGGTACAGCGTATATCAGGGAGATGCTTTATTGTGAGTTTGCGGATATGATAGGTCTCAGAAAACTGTTGGAGAACTCGTCGATCTGCTACTGAGTTCATCTTCCAGCAAGTGGAGTACAAGCTGGAGTTGATAAATGTAAATGATCACCTTTAGGATCAGCATTTCTAGCGTCCAAGTCCTATACTTCAACCAGTCCAAGGTGAAAGCAGAGTTGATAACCCTTGAGAACAGTAGAAATTTACAGTTATTAGAATGTTGTTTGGATACAAAGAAAAGACCAACTTAAAAGAGGAAATACGTTACAAACTGGTTTCAAATAGTCTGAAGAATGCAGTCTCCAAAGGGAATTTGAGTCCATAGATGGTTTCCTGATGATACATACACATCATTTCATATGATTTCTGCCTCTTTATTGAGGTGTTGAAAAAGAAGTGTCAAGAAACAGCTTGTCACAAGTAGACATATCAGGTCAATAAACTGTCAAATACCTGATCACCGACACCTAGCAGCAAGGCACTTGGTTTCTGAAAGCTATTTCTGACTTCAGTTTCCAACAAATAACAAGGAAGGGCAAAAGATACAATTGAATAGGATTGTGATCAACCATTGAAACAATACCTTATCTCTTCTTCAGAAAGTTAGGTGGAGGCAGGATTTGTTCGCATTTTTTCCAGATAACAGTAACTGCATAAACCAAATCATAACAAGAATATTCAGCATACTCTTAGACTCAAAGATGAACAACATTTGTAGCTAAGCTATTGCATCTTGCTGTCATATGGATCATGCTAGTTCTGAACACTGCAAAAGGAACTAAGAAGCTAAAGCATCGGGTAAGTTTCTTCTTGTCAGTAATGCTGAAGTGACTAAGAGAGTTCAAGGGGGTACTGTTTTGCCTTCCACTCACAATTGGCCTCCTGACAACCTTATCATCAGGAATAATGCACATATTGCTTAGGGAAATTAAGCTTACATATTTTGGACCCTTTCTTTCAGAGACATCTTCTAGTAAACAACTAAACATCAATGGGAACAATATTAGAGCTAACTGAACTTTACTTTATCCCTTTTACTTGTGCTTTTCATCCGAAAAAAATCCTGCAGAATTTAATATTAAAAATTATCAATTTCCTACATGCAAGACTCAAGTATATATCTCCAAGGGTGATGTCAAGAGTAAAGGACGAATTCTCAGAGCTTGTTGATAGAAATTCTCAATCTTTCATTCCTAGATTTACATGGTCCAATGCAGAGAACTCAAGATTGAGATCAAGGTTAGACAGATTCCTCGTATCAACTGCTTGGGAGGAGTTGAACCTGGAAATGATCCAAATCTTCCAGCTCACACTTGTCTCAGATAACCTGCCAAGCATGAGCATGATCATGCTGGATTGTAGCTGGTGAATAAGAATGCCAACCAATTAAGGTTTTGAAAACATGTGGCTGAGGGGTGGCGGGTTTCAGAGAGAAGGTGAAATGATGATGGGGAAGCAACTAAGTGCAGGGCAGACAGTTATCCCAAATGGCAAAAAAGTTGCAGTTTCTGAGGGAACATAAAAAGATGGAGCATGGAAATCTTATGAAGGTCGAGACGAAAAAAGAGGTACTTAATACATGAATTGGAGGAGCCACAGCTATGTTGCTCAACTGCTTGAGAGGAATTGAGCCTGGAAATTATCCAAATCCTCCCAACTCAAACTTGCCTCAGATCACCTGCCAAGTGCGAACATGATCATGATAGATTGTAGCAGGTGAAGAAGAATGCCAACCCATTAAGGTTTTGAAAACATGTGGCAGAGGGCAGGAGGATTGCAGAGAGAATGTGGCACTGTGGTGGAAGCGCTACCAAATGCAGGGCAGACAGTTATTCCAAATGGCAAAAAAGTTGAAGTTTTTGAGGGAACATCAAAAGATGGAGATTGGAAGTTTTATGAAGGTCTAGACAAAAAAAGGGTACTTAATCCATGAATTGGAAGATCCAGAGCTATGTTGCACAGATCCTTCAAAATCCTTGTCGATCCGACACAATTTGGGTGTGGATGTGGGATCCTAACCAGATTTGGTCAAACCTGACTTGGGTGCTTGAACTACACCTTTGCCTAAGAAGTATAGGTTGATAATTCATTGAGTATTTAGTTTAATTTTGGGTTTATGTCGTACATATATATATTCACATAAAATACTAGAATACTTTGCTACTATACGAGAGAAATATTTGAATAAAATATTAAGTGGTTACAAAGAAGTAAGAACTTAATTATACTAGCTTTAATGTAATAACTTTGTTTAGTTGTCAAGCATACACTTATATATGTTACATTACACATTTGTTAGTTATAGCCCAACACCCGTACCCATACTCCTATCCATAACACAAGATGTTAGTAGATTTCTCATATTAAGTGCATCTAAAACATGGCAAGAAACATCCTTAACATAACGAGGACGGAAGGCAAGATAAAAGGCACATTTGCAAAAATCTGTCCACCATGGGGATCAATAAAAAAAATAGATCATTAGGATATTATCTTTTCCATAGTCTCATGTTGAAAAAATGCAGGAATACAAGTATAAAGGTACCCATGTAGGTACTACAACCGCCAGCAGAAGCAATCATATGTAAATCCATTTCACCCAAGACTTTGTAAGAAGAATGCAAGCTACGGCGGGTAGTCGTTTCTGCCCTACCCACTAGCTTTCACTCACTATTATCTCATTCTTAACATTCACTATCCACATAATTCATCCTTGTATGTTGAGGTTAAAGTTTTATCTCACTTGGCCAAGTTAGAGGAATTTAAACATACGCTTATCTTCTTTTTTGTGATATAAGGGAAATATAAACATGCTGCTCTTAACCATAGCATACTTACTGAAATTGAGGAAAAAAGGCATGCAAGGGATATACACACTTACATATTGAAGAAACAAGCTTCGGTGTGATTTGCAACACTTCAATCTAGTGGTCTTGCTAGATAACGAAATGCACTTCAATGTAGAGCACATAAGCTGCAGAAGTAAAGAGTCCAAACATAAAGGCCCAGCAATATCAACCAGAAACAAACTAATTGACCCGACTGAAGATGAAGCTTACTAGATAGACCTGGGCCATCAAACAGAATAAACAAATCAAGAATGTCAAATACTATTCAGACAGATCAGTGTCAGATACACAGTTGACCACTTTGTGAGCAGCGATATCCTCATATCCACCTTGTACGAAAGATATCTTAAAGGACACCGAACATAGAGATACACTTCAAATGGTAGAAGTGTCCAAAGTTCCAGCAGATGTCTCAGATAGACCTGATCTCAACCATTGAAGCTAGTTTAAGCCATGAGACCCCTATGAAGATATTATTTCCAGCAAGCTAGATAAATGTTCCCAGTGTTATCTTTCTATAGCAATATACTTATCTTCTTTTCTTTTTCTTCTTTCTTAAAGCATTTAGCTTTTCCTTCATGATTGTCAATCTTTCACATAATGCTTGGGTATTTGAAAATTCACCTTCCAGTCCTCTCTCTTGCAGATCATTTAAAAGATTTTCACCCTTTGCAAGATCATTCCCAGAACAAAATGCATTGAGAAGAACCGTGAAGGTTGTAATATTGGGACACATACCCCTCTCTTTCAGCTCCTCATAGAGATCATATGCATCATCAATATAACCACCAGCACAAAGGCCTGTTATGAGGACATTGTAAGCAATAACATCTGGCTTTCCACCATGAAGCTCCATTGTAGTTTTCAATTTTAGGGCCTCACAAGACTTAGAACTTTTGCAAAGTCCATGCATAACTGTTGTGAATGTGGCAACGGTTGGAAGTAGATGCACCCGTAGCATACATTCAAGTACCAGCATTGCTTCCTCCATCTTCCCACGACGCACAAGCCCCCTTATAATTGCACCCTCAGCTATAGTACGAGAGCTAACACCTAATAACTCCATTTCATCTTTTAGTTTGAATGCTCCTTTTACATCTCCAACTTTACACATACTAGTGATTAAATTGCAGTATTGTCTGTCAACTGGGACAAAACCCTCTTCGATCATTTTATGCAAGAGACGATGTGAATTTTGGAAGTCCAATGTTCTTTTCAGTCCCTTAAATATCAAATTGTAAGTGTCTCCATCAGGAGAAACACCTAAGGTAGTCATTAAAGAAAGAAGATCAAGGGCCTGCTTCATCTCACCCCTTTCACAATATTTACTGATAATCATGTTGAATGTGAATTTATCTGCCACTATTCCCCCCAAGATCATCTTTATCACAAATTTAACCCCAATATCCAGCAGACTCGACTCACAGAGTCCAAGAGTCACATAATGGCATGTTAATTTATCTGGAGTGAGACCTTTTTCTCTAAGTGACTGATATAACTTAGAGCACTCGGATATGTTCTTCTGTCTCGAATAGCCTCGTAATAAAATATTATATGTAGCCAAGGAAGGCATTTCACTTCTCTCTCTCGTTGTAGAAAAGAAACTACTCGCCTTATCAATTTGTCCATGTTTTGAGTAACCATCCATCACCACATTCAGTGCCACGGTATCTGGGGTAAGACCTTTCCATGTCATCTCATCAAAGAAGTAACTGGCAACCTTAGGCAAGCCACTCTTGAAAAGTCCATCAATAATACATGTATACATGACCCGGTTTGAAGAGGGGTCTCCTCTACTCAATGCTCTTTCCAATATAAGAATTGCAGTGACCAACTTATCCTTCCGACACAAGCCAGCTACGAGACTGGTGTAGGTATGACTATCTGGGAGCACATTAATCTGAACCATCTCGTTGATAAGGATTAATGCCATGTGGAAGTGGCCTAACTTACAGATCTCAGCCAGCAATGAGTTGTAGACAACAACATCTGTCGCACAATAAATTCCACGGAGCCTATCAAATAATCCAAGCGCCTCTGTAAGGTTTCCTCCTCTGCATATTCCCTTTAGTAAGCTTGCATAGGTGTAAAAGCTAGGCTGTCTACCCAAGTTAATCATTTCGTCAAACCAGGATAATGCTTTTAACCCTTCACCTACATTTCCATAGCAATCAATAACAGAAGTAAAAGCAGCAGAATTGGGAACAAGATCAATCGTATACATGTGACGCATGAAATCCTCTGCCTCTCTTACTCTTCCACCTGTACAAAGAGAAGATATCAGTGTGTTGCAAATGAAAGCGTCAGGAGTATGGCCTGTTTTATGCATCATTGCATAGACTCTCATTGCTTTTAGGACATTATGTTGCTTGCAAAAGTTGTAGATCAAAGTAGAGTATACTACATCATTTGGGAAAACTCCAAACTTGTACATCCTACATAATATTTCCATTGCTGTATTTAGCATTCCAGCTTTACAAAATCCATTTAGAAGTACCGAGTATGCAACAACATCAAGACATATACCACTCTCAAACATATCCTCAAGTAACGGTACAACTTCTCCTAGACACCCCATTTTGCATATCCCTTCTAATAACATTGTATATGCATGCTGATTGAGAGATAATCCTCTCAGCTTCATCTTCTTGAGAATATCTCTTGCAGAATCCAATATGCCATGCTTGCAGAAACCATTCAAGAGAGCCCCATAACTAACTTCATCAGGCTGCAGACCTCTTGTTTCCATTTCAATCAGTATTTCTTGAGCCTCTTTTAGATTGCCTGCTCGACATTGCCCATCAATCAAAGCATTGTAAGTGATACAATTTGGTGAAAGATTAAGCTTCAACATCTCATGAAAAATCTTCATTGCAGCGTCAATCTTCCCCTCTTTCACAAACCCGTTAACAAGAGTATTATAGGTAATATGATTTGGAACAATCAATCTCTTCCTCATCTTCCTCAATACTAAATAGCCTTTAGCACTCCTGTTCTTCCTGCATAAGTCATCTATAAACATATTGTATGTACAAACATCAGCTTCAAGACCCTTGGAATTCATGCAATCAATCAGTTCCAAAGCTGCTTTATACCTTCCCTTCTTGCAATACCAATTAAGCAAAGTATTATAAGTAACCACATCAGGGTTATAACCACTCTCTACCATCTTTTCAAGCAAACAACTTGCTCTCTCAACCTTCCCTTTTGCACAAAGAACTTGTAAAAGTATATTAAACGTACCAACATTGGGACAAATACGATTAGCAAGCATTTCTTTAAAAAACGACCATACAGACTCAGCACTTCCCTGCTTCCCCATTGCTGCTAGCACCATATTACAAGTGTAAACCGACGGTTTAAACGATCGAGAACTCATCAAATTAAACACCTGAAGAGCATCTTTAAGTTCACCTTTTCTCACATAAACCCTAATTAAGATATCAAAAACAGAAGGGTTTGAACTGCAAATGCGATACGTATCCATAAGAGCACTAAAAACAGAACTTGACCCAACACCCATGTCAGCTATATGCCCTAAAATTGACTTAACATAGTTATGCATTCTAGCTCTAACAAGTATGTGAGTTGTGATACCATACATATGAATAATATGAGTGAACTCCAAACCAGGTTGCTTAATAAACCAATTCAAGAATTTTAAAGCCATTTTCCCATGAACTGGTCTTAGTGAAGCCATCTTATACCTCATATGATTGAGTGAACCCCAACGGTCCAGGGTAAGAAGAGAGTAAATGCTCTTCTCCACTTCTTCACCTGTTCACATACAAAAAAAAAATCACAAACACATAGTATAAAAGAAAAAGGAAAGTAAGAAACGGAGAAGAGGGAGAAGAGTACTTGCTAGCTTGGTGCTCACAGGATAACAATTTCGTGCAGAGACTTTTGGGGGCCGCTTAGTGAACCCCATTTGAGAGAAAGCTCTGGCTGTTCCGGCGCTGCTTAACTGTGGACACATTGCAGCGATGGTTAATTCTGTTTATTTTTGTTTGGTTACATTCTGCGGAACCCGACTATGTGCAGGATTTTCAAAGTACAAGGAGCGTAAGCTCTTTGATTTGTGAATGATGTTAGAAAGCTTAGAATATAAGAAGAAAAAGACTAAAGAAAGCTCACAATATTATATTATAAGAAGAAAAAGACATATAAGAGATAAAGAGAGAATTTTTCTATTTAAGTATCACTCCAAAAGTCTCAACTATTGCATACTTTCTGAGAAATCACTTAACTTTGAATTTTAACTCAAAAGTCACTCAACTATCCACTCTTTTCTCAAAAAGTCACTCGATCTATTAAATTATTTTTTAATTAAAAAATTGTTGATATTAATTATTTATATAACAAACTAAAAATTTTTAAAAATAAATTAAACCATTTAGTGATTCATCCACCTAACCCGACGCATTAAAAAATATGATATGACCCATTTTATTTTGTATTTAATCCTAAATTAATCCCTCTCTTTAAACCTTGAATTAGGATTAAAGACAAAATAAAATGGGTCATATCATATTTTTTTAATGGATCGGGTTAGGTGTGTGGATCACTAAATGGTTTAAATGGTATTTTTATTTTTTTAAAATTTTGGTTTGTTATATAAATAATTATATCAATAAATTTTAATTAAAAAAACAATTTAATAGATTGAGTGACTTTTTGAGGAAAGAGTGAATAGTTGAGTGACTTTTGAATTAAAATTCAAAGTTGAGTGAATTTCTGAGAAAGAAGTGCATAATTGAGTGACTTTTGAGTGAAAATTGAAAGTTGAGTGACTTTCTCAGAGAATAGTGCATAGTTGAGTGACCATCTGAGGTATTAACTCCACTAACAACAGATTGTGAAAACTTACAGTAACACACACAAAAAAAAAGTAGAATGAATAACTTTTGCATGTCAGACATGATTGTTATGCCATTTCCATCACCAAGTTGCAAGTCTTCAATGAGATAGCTTAAGAACCAACTCCAAGAGTGTTTAGTTTCTTGATCAACCACATTTCCAACAGCCACTAATAATTCTCCTCTACAAGCACCCTTCAAAAAGCATCCATCCAATCCTATAATCTTCCTACAACCTTCTAGCCATCCATTTTCCAATGCAGCAAAACAGACATAAAAATATTTGAACAAGTGTAAGCCAGAGACTGTTTCATTATCAGTTCTTACCCAACAAGAACTCCCAGGATTTGTACTCTTAATTATATCAGTATAGTCTAACAACCTTGAAAACTCAAGTTTCCAATCACCCAAGAACTTGGAAATGACATTCATTTTTTCCCTGTAACATATTGATCTTCCCACTTTTAATCCCCATTCTTTTCTTAGTGTCTCTTGAAGCTTATGAACTCTCATGTCAAGCTGAGATATTATTATATTCCTCATCTTCATTTTCACATATTTGGTTTTGCACAACATGTTCCTATTCTTTGAAATACATCTATGAGCAGGATAGTATTTCTTTACAAAAAATTTTCCAGAATCTTTATCCAAGCTTGCAAAGATTTCCCATTTACACTTCCCTTCACATTTTACCCTAACTCTATGAGGTTCATTGAGTTTAAGCCTTAACTGAACCTTATGTTGAACAACATAATCAGCAACAACCTTTCTAAATTGAGTTGCACTCTCAAATATCATACCCAACTCAAAGAAAGAAATGGAAGAAGAAGAATCATACCTCAGTTTGTTGCTTTTTCTTCTTGAAGGTAAATCAACACTCGGTTGTGCTAAAACATCTAGCTCCTCATCACTATATTCACTTGGTTCATTTGATGAATCAATAAACACTTCATCACCTCCCAATTTTCCATTTGAAGATATTTTCAAATCCCTTATCTATGCCAACTTCTCCAAGCTCAACACTTTAATCCTTTAAGGGTTTTTTAGTTCTCTTTTTTTCTTTGCAGATTCATTCTTTTTGTCTTCCCTAAGTTTTTCTCTAAAAGCTCTCAGTTCTTCATCAATTTCACTATCATCCTGATCTGGAACATCATCTAAGTTATCCTCTTCAAAGTCAAGAGAATCACCATTTCCTTCTTCTAGTGGTTGTTCAACTTCACCTACCCTGTGTGAAATCCTAGAGCAATTTCCCAATTCTTGATTATTTTTTCAATAGAAAATGGTCCCAAGTAGTGGACTCCCCTTCTTTATCAGTCACATGCTTCAAAAACAACTTAATAGATGACCTACTCCACAAATCTTTAACAAAGTTATATAGTTGGCTGTCACTTTCTAACTTAACAAAATTATGGGTTATAGGGTCTTCAGTAAAAAAAGTATCAACTTCAACATACCTAATATCTTTTGCATACGATTTCAGTTCGGTTAAAGAGAAGTGGTCCTTATGTATGCTGAAAACGATGTTTCCCAATTTCGGCACATATTGACCTTTATAAAATGAAAAATAGCTATAATATGACCCATATGCATAAATATGTAAGAAAATAACAATTTTACACTAATGGTGACGGAAAGATTCTACTTTGTAATCAAAGATAAACTTTCAAAAGAGCGAAATCGAGGCATACCTGAACTAAGTCGAGGAAGATGAACAGATGAACATCAACTTCAGTAGCAATCTTGAATGATTTTCGCCTTTGATTCCAAGATAACCTAGGGTTTTCTGTTTGGAGCTGAGTTACTGATGAACAAAGGGGTGAACTTTTTGAAACGTGGATAACGTAACTTCTAGAAAGGTGCCTTCTAGAAACGTTACCCTCTATGTAATTTAAAATCAATTTTAATTTTTTTACTTCTTAAATGGCGTATAATTTTTTTAAAAAAACAATGACGTGTAAAATATTTAATTAGTTGACAGTTATTGAGTGACTCACTAATACACGTGGGCGCGATTGTATTTCACGCTCTTTGGGTCCAAAAATCGCGTGTGTATTTATAAAAAAAATAGGATAGTTAAAGTGCCTATTTGTGCACTGTAAAAGTTTGAGGTCATACTTAAAATTTGAAGCCAAGTTTAAGGGCAAATAAATTGAGGTCACTAATACACTTGTTTGAATCTCGCAATCCGAAAAGTATCACATAAATTGAGAAGGAAGGAGTAACAAACAACACGCTCTACATAATTTTTAAGTGAATTTATTTAAATAAATTTACTAATATAAATATAAAACATAAAATCAAGAAAATAAATAAAATAATAAAAATGATTTGGGGGATATTTTTGTGTTTACGTAAAGTTATCCCATGGTATGAAATCATATTACTAATACTTCCAAATGAAAGTTATTAGTAGCACATCACATAATACTCATATAGGGTGAATAACTAATTCATTTACTAATTATAACATAGACTTAAATTCCTATCAAATATAGTATTAAATAGGCATAATATATAAATATGTCATATAACTTGGCATTAAATCAAATTCATATCATTCAACTTTGGGTGTGCACAAGTTGACTTGTATAAAGTTAAACAAATAGACACACATGTCCTCATATCATTTTTTGTCTTACATATATTGTGTCATATAGGACTCGTGTGTTTACTTGTTTTATTCTACTTGTGCATATCCAAAATTGAATGACATAAACGTAAAATGAGATCAAGTTAAAGATACATTTATGAATTATGCGTATTAAATAACATTATACATAATACATTGATTGTTTCTTCTAACATTCTCTATCACGACCCCATAAGAGATAGAAAAATATTTTCCATTGTGTCAAGTATATTTTGACGAAAATAGAAATAGCTAAGTGATATGATAGTCCTAAACACAAAAATATAATATTCATAGACAATTTCTCAAACATGATTGACTTGTAACGACCTGTTTAGTCGTTTTGAGCAGCAGATTTTATTTCTGGAAAAACAGGAAGAGATGACGGAACCCACGACGGACCGTCATGGGCACGACGGACCGTCGAGGGGTCTCGTTTCAAAACACTTAGAAATTCTGAAAAATGGGTACTAAAATCGACTCTCTGAACTTCGTAACGGAATAGCAGGACGGACCGTCACAGACTCTTCAGAGAATTTCAGCCTCTGAACTCTGTGACGGAGCAGCAGGACGGACCGTCGCAGGCATGACGGCCCGTCACAGGCTGCGTAATCCCAGGCGGAGTCGGATTTCTTTAATGTTTTAAGGGACGTTTTTGACTATTCCGGCTTATAATTATAAAGTTAGTGGTTTAATATTAATAACTCAATTACTTGGGGGCTAAAAGAGGTAACCTTGAGTAAATTAGTGGGTTATTATTGCCATCTTTTATTCTTAATTATATGCTAATTAGGGTAAAAGAAAGAGGGTTTGAATAAGGAAAAGAAAAGAACAGAAAGAGAGAGAGAGGATCGACGACAAAGAGGAGAAACGAGAAAACGAAAAAGGCTTGGGAAATTGCTTGCTTGATCGAAATTCTTCGGTGGAGGTAGGTTATGGTTTTTACACTATTCGTAGTAAACTCTTAATAGCGAATGATATGTATTGGGTAGTGTTGTAAACCCTTCTATATGCTTAATTGTGTGTTTGCATGTTGTGGTTATATAATTGTGATGACACAAGCATGATGAAGCTATTGAATCTTAAATCTTGAAAAAAAAACCCTAATCTACTTTGTTAATGATGATGCCTTAGTGTAAAAGAAGGCTTGATGAACGAAAGTAGTGAGATTAGGGGATCGGATGCCACGTTCTGATACCAGGATAGTATATGAGGATCGGAGTGTCACGTTCCGACACCAGGATAGAATATGGATCGGGTGCCACGTTTCGATACCAGGATAGTGTATGAGGATCGGAGTGTCACGTTCCGACACCAGGATAGTATATGGATCGGGTGCCACGTTCCGATACCAGGATAGAATATGGATCGGGTGCCATGTTCCGGTATCAGGATAGTATATGAGGATCGGAGTGTCACGTTCCGACACCAGGATAGTATATGGATCGGGTGCCACGTTCTGGTACCAGGATAGAATATGGATCGGGTGCCACGTTCCGATACCAGGATAGTATATGAGGATCGGAGTGTCACGTTCCGACACCAGGATAGTATATGGATCGGGTGCCACGTTCCGGTACCAGGATAGAATATGGATCGGGTGTCACGTTCCGACACCAGGATAGAATGAGGATCGGAGTGTCACGTTCTGACACCAG